ACAGACAAAAAAAAAACATTCTTTTACCTCATCCAGTCGTAATAATTCTTCGGTGCTCATACTACCAGACACACCACCACCACTAGTATTTGCTGAATTTTTAGCCTCTTTTCTTAATTTTTTTTCACGTTTACGTTTTTCTTTTTCATCTCGATCTGATTTTTCACGATCTCGTTCACTGACTCCAACACCTTTTTTCATAAAATTAAACATGGTGAATTTTGATAGATTGGAAATCACCTTTAATATTACTTAATTACTTCCTTTTTTTTTTTTTGTAATTTTTTTTTTTTTTTTTGGGGGGAAAAAAATAACCCGTACTTATTTCAATTTTCTTTTTTTTTTTCTATATTTCACCAGAACACATGTAAGAATTTAATTATTATAAAACTTTCTTATTATAATTATTTTTTCTGTCAATTTTTAATATTTTTCTTTTTTCAATAAAATTTCTATGAAACAAACAACACTATTTTAAAATAAACAAATTATTAATGGAAAATAGGAAGCGCCCATTCATGCACCATACACATTGGAATCAAAGAGAGAAAAAGTAAAAAAAGCTAGTAATAAAATATTCGTCTGCAAAATATTGTTTTTCTTGTTTTGTATGAAAAAAAAAAATACCTAGCAAAAATATTGAATTTTCAACTTAACATTTTTCACGTAAAAAGGTAGCAAAAGGTAAATGAAAACAAAAAAAAAAATTTATCTTAAATTATTTCAATTTCAATTAAATTTTTTTAAAAAAAATATTAGAAAAATATTTTGTATTCCTAGCTTTCCAATTTTCTGTAAAATTCTTTTATTTTTTTTTTTTTTTTTCAAGTCTATTGATCTTTTACTGGTATCACTAACAAGAAAAAAAAAAAGCATAACACCAACTGGTGCTGCACAAACTTTGTTATTGGGATGCCTTTTTCTTATATTTTTTCTTTTTTTTTCGGGTAGCACTAACAATTTTCACTGAATAAAATTTTATGAGAAAAAAAAAACAATCTTAAACACTTTTTATTCTTTTATATTTTCACAATTTTTTATTGAATTTATAAATTTCATTTAATTTTTCACTTTTATTTTTTTAATATTCAAAATAAATAGACCAATTATTTTTTTTTTTCAATTCAATAAATAATAAAAATGAAGCGATTCATAATATTTAATATCGCATCTCTTACTTTCACGACATTTCTTGTTTTCGTTTCAGCAAAAGACTGAAGAATTGACAATTATTTTTCGTTTTGACATGACAGTAAATAATTGAAATGTCAAATTAATTCATTTCCATTTATTTAATATTTTGCCAGCGTTTCAACATTTTCACCACACTCTAAAGAAACAATATAAAATGAAAATAATTTTTGTTTCAATTGGAAATTGTTTCAGTTGTTATATTGGTATTAGTTGATTGACACTTTTTAAAATATTTTCATTTTTTTATTCTTTAATTGATTGATTCGTTTGATTTTTGCTCAAATTTTGTTTAATGGAAAAATAATTATTTTAATTGCAATTACACTGGCTTAAAACAGTTGAAACTAGTTTTTAACCAAAAAAAAACGCAAGACTTAAAGGTATTATTCCTTCCCTTTATCGTATTTTCTAATCATTTTTAATACTCCAAGCTATTTATTTCTCTTTATATAACGAAAATTGTTAAAATAATGACATTCATTTTGACAAAATTGAAGTGTGCATGAAATACAAAAGTTCTGGGTTAGGCAGTGTTAGTCAAATTTTTTTTCCAATTTTTATAAATGAAGCCGTATTTAGCTACATATGTATTCAAATTTGTAGATTGCATCCTACGGTAAGATTGCATCCTACGATAAGGTAAGGATAAAGTCATTTCGTTTTGAAATATTGTTACTTAAATAAATAATAAAAATGCATTTATAAATTTAAATATTAAAATTTTCAAAATTATTTTCAAATTAAAAATATGACCTCATTAAATGAAATTAGTAGTTGTAAATATTTGTTTAAGCTAATGTTATATTGGTTGGAGACATCATGAACGCTTTCAATTAAGAGTTATTAAATAAATGAAAACTGTAGTATTTGGCAGGACTGTTATCATCAAAGTTATAATAGTTACACTATTGATAAATAGATGGCCATAAATAAATTTCTATAATATTATTATGAAAGCTAAGCGTTTCATTTTCCTTAGTTTCGATGGAATCTAAAAGCAATTCATTTACATGTTTATATTGTATTCTCAGTATTTTTATTTAAAGTAATTTATATAATATAAATATATGATAAATTTATATAATAAAATATAAATATGTAAAGTTATAAGCAATATGTAAAGTGGTTTACATAAAATTGGTAAGCAATTTGTAACATAATAATATAGTAATATTTTGTACCGTTATTTTAACACTATTGTTATAATACTCTCGCGCTATCATAGTATCTGTCATTTTGCTTTTCAGTATTTTGCCGAACAACATAATTTTTTTCAGAAAAAAAAAAAATTTAAATAAAGATGCTTGGAGTTTAATATCTTCTTAAACGATACGTGACTAGTTTAATTATATTGTTTCTTTAATTTCTTTGAAGAAAAAAAAAATTGGGTGTACATATTTACTTTGTTAAGAAATTAAATTATTTTTAGTCAGTTAAGTGGAACAATATAATCCAAAGCAGAAGAATATAGAAAAATCGTGCTAAATTCAAATTAAATTCGTATTAAATAATGGTAGTATTTAGTGCTTTCACTTTCTATTCACAAATTAAAATATTAATTTTAATTGCTATTTTTTCTTTAATTTGTTTATTTTAGCAATAATACATTATGGCATCCTCATATGCAACACAAATTCTAAAGAAGTACAGAAGAATGCTGAAATTTTTAGGGAAACACTTAGGGATTCAGAATAAATTGAAACACTTGAGAAAAGGATATAAAGACCAGTTGAAAAACCGAATGTTCAAGAATTGAGTTTTTTTGAGAAACTAATATTTATATAAGTAAAGCGATGAAAAAACTGAGTAACTCAAAGCTCCTGTTTGTTTAAATTTAAAATCCTATATACTAATGTATGTAATACGATATTAGAAGTGAATGTGTTTTTAATCGTAAAACTTTTAACAAGAAAAACATATTTAAAAAACAGTACGTGGTCCATTAATTTGAAATCTTAAAATATTCTTTGAAAACTGAAAAATTATAAGATTTTAAGTAAGCGAACACATATGTAAAATGACAAATTACAATTTATTTAAAAAACTTTGGGCATACACTCACACCACTTGTGCAATAAGGTATTTTTAATTTATAAAATTGAACAATATTAAGTAAATCTATAAAATCACATAAAAATTTATGAAATATAATCTTATTCTTTAATTTTAGGCTAAAATTTCTGGAATTTCAATGTCAAAATTATGTTTTACGCACATGGATTTGTTACTTTACATTTGTAGTTACCCGTATAATATTGCAAATTAACTCTTACTTGACTTAAAAAAAAAACAATTTTAAATTAAGCTTTAACTTTTTTTGTCCGGCTTTAAGTAAAAGCAAATTTAAAGATAAAAGGTAAAAGTTTGTCTTGCTAATTATGGGTTACTGGTACAATACATAAAAAATATAAGAAGTATCCATAAAATACAATATTACTTTTATCCATATCTTGTTACTTTTCTACAATTCGAATTGAAAAGGAAAAAGTAAATTGAGTATAATAGAATCTAAGGAAATTTTTTTAGATTAATTAGTTCAAAAGTATATAGGTAGTCAGTCATATTTTAATTTATTTTTTAGTATGTATTGCAAAATAAAAAATATTACATTTTAGAAAATACACAACAAACAAAGTTTAAAATTTTGTCATTATATATGTGTATAATATTTTAAAATAATTCTAAAAATAGTCATAATCCAGACATAGAACGCTTAATGGAATTCATGAAATCATATACTTATACCTATATATCTACCTGGTGTATATATATCTACCTTTTCGTCCAATATAAAAAAATATAACTTTTAAATAGTCAAAAGCACATCCATATAGATATACATACTTGCAATTGGGATTATAATTTAAATTTTTTAATTATTCTTAATTTTATATTTTGATTTCTTGAAAACTTAACGATCATAAATTTTAAATTTGTAAAATTGAACAATTGGTATGCAATTATTTTCTTTAATAAAAACAACATCATGACAGATAAACATATACTTTGCATATAGAAGCTGTTATAAATTTAGTTTTATTAATTGAAAAAAAAATTGTTATAAATAAATTATGTACTATGTATTATAGCAGGTATACATAAAAGACCCTCTAATTTTTAACACTTGCAATATAAATTTAAATTTAATTAATATTCAAAATAATTACTATTGTAATTGTTACAATAATTCTTTAATTTCCGATATCCGATAAAAAAAATCTTGTTTTTCGCATGTACATAAACCTCTTATTTCAAAAATATATTAGGTACCTATACTAGAATGTTACTGCAAGAAAACCCCCTCAGCTATATCCAAGTTGTACCTACATAATATACTATACCTGAATTTTAAAACGGAAGTTTATTCAAAATTTGAACTGCATTTTAGTTGGTCAAATATAAAATCTGTTATGACTGTTAAATTAATTGTATAATACATGCTGCATAATTCACAAAACAAAACAAAAAGCAAAGAAGAAACTTGCGTTCATATTATTGTGTATGTAACATTTAAACAACATCAATAATAATATTTTAAACTTTATAACGGGGACTAATTTTTTTTCACTTGTTTTCTTATTGTTTTTTGTTTCACTTTGTTTTCATTTTTTTTAATTTAATAAAAAAAATAAAAACTAAAAAAAAAAATAATTTTTCTTTTCTACTTTTTAGTTAAACCGCTTAAACCATAATATTTATTTTCATCTAAAGATTCATGAGGTATAAAATTGAATGAAGCTGTTACATCATTTTCAGATTGTGATCGACGCGGGAACTGTTAACACTGCAATATCAGCAGGTCGAGCTCATTTAAATTTAAAATGTTTTAATAATAAAAAAATTATATATTTAATTGCTTTAATAAAATTTGAGAAGTGACAAAACGAAAAAAAAACTTATTAGTGAAATATTTAAAAAATAGTTTTAAAAAATAATTTTTAAAAAATATTTTGAAATAAACAAAAAATTTTAAAGGATTTAAAATTAAATAAAACAAAATTTATTTATTAAGATATTTAATTATATTAAGTATTAAATAATATTAACTATTTAAAAATTAATTTATAAAATATTTTAAAATGATTGAAATTGTAAATAAATGGTTTTTCATACAAATTCTATTTTGTTTAATGGTATTTGGAGCAGATGATTTACGTATGTAAATTTTTACTTCTTTTTCGAAATTATTCATTAATTAAAAGAATATTCATATCGAATTATAAGAGATTTAATTGTATATATGCATTTACAACAAAAATTTTTAAAATAATTAAAAATTCCAAAATAATTCAATTTAATAATAAGGATTTTAAATTATAAATTTATGTTTTGCAGGTTATTCTCAAATAAATCCTCTTAATTATTATTTTTATATATGATTTTGTAACATTTTCATATAAACAAGTTGTAATTTAGTATATATTCGCATTTCTATCAAGAAATTTATTGTATATACATATATATATATATATATAAATATATAAAAGGAATTATTTTGTAATATTTTACAATATTTTGTAATGTACTTGTTTATATTATAAATTTTGTATATACATACTTTTTATAGTATTAAAAATACATTATACTCGTATATGTACATGCTTATGTATATAGTATAGTAAAAAAAAAATGAAATTGTGTAATTCCTTTTTAATACCAGTTATTTTAATATAAGTACCTGTATCTATACCTGTATCTTTAATTACATATACGTATATAAGTAATTTGTACAAGTATACATTTATAAAATATATAGATTTACCTTATAATCGTTGATGTAAAATAACGGTATAAAATAAGCATAATATTGAGTATAATAAGAAGAACACATTAATTAGGATATGCTTAATTTTATATATACATATATATTTTATTTTTTTGATTTATTGGAACCATATGCTTATAATTTGAATTTTATAGCATGGGTCATAGTTATATACCGTAATAATTATTGCCTAATATTGCATTTTAATGAATATTTATGTATGTACAGTTGTTTTATTGCATAATTTTTGTATTACTAGTTAGTTTTGATTTATTATTTATTTTTTTTTACAGAAAAATTTAATTTTAAAATCGTATATATTGGTTACAGAAATTAGTTATATTATTATGCGTGCATTATGATTTTGTGTCAGCTCACATAATTCTAAAAAAATTATAAGTAATAAATGCTTAAATATTTATAGTTAGTTTTAAAGATTATTGATGTTTGTAATATAAAAATGAAAAATAATTAATTGAACAAAAATATTTTTTATTATACAAAATTATATTATTCCTATACCTTATTTTTTTTTAAATTAATTATTAATAATATTGTATGTAAGTTTAATTGCATTATTTATTAACTTTTCTTGTGTAATTAGGTATTTTAACTTAGTCTACAAGCTACAATTCTCAAATTATTAAATTTCAATTTTCAATATACAATTGATTTTTTAATTCTCAATTTTATTAGCGTTAGCATTAATTTTTTCAATTATGATAAGTTTGTTATTGGTATATGTTAAATTAGGATTATAAAACGTACTAGAGATTTTAAAATCTTAGATTTTACTGCTTGGAATTGTATTTTACAAATTACAATTTGTGTTCTTAACAAATTAAGGAAATTATATACTTATAAATTTATTTTAGTATATTTTACCTAATAATTTCCTGTTGCTAATTATTGTGAAAAATATGTCTTCCGAAATTGGTCTTATATTGCTTAATTATTCTATTAAATAAATTATAATTTATTTTGCGTTAAAATTAAATATCGTACATATAAATTTGAATTTCATATGAACACATTTAAAATTACATTATGATTTTAATATAAAATTTGTTTATTATATTAAATGGAAGATACTACTCGTATTTAAAAACTAATAGTTAATTAAGAGTAAATTTGTTTTCTTTAAAATAATTTTCAATCTATTTCAATATCTTTTAATTTTTTTTCTTAAACTTCTTTTGAATAACAATTATAATTTATAAAAATAAATATATATGTACATGCATTAAATTAATTTTTTTAAGTGCAAATATTTAAAAATAAACTTTCTTGAAGGCTCTGTTTTATAAAAACAAAAAAAAATAAAATAAATATGTAATATGTAATTTAAGTCAAACAATCAAATGAATTATAATGAATGAATTAATTTTAGCCGTCGCTTAAAATTATATAAATATAATATAACAATAATTCACAGTCCATATCATGCATGCATCTTGAATTCTAATATAAAAATATTATAAAAACTGCACAATATGTATAAATATATGTAAATTAATGAGAGTAATTAAAATTCTATTTATATAAAAATATTTACTTAATTATATTTGTATTTTTGTACATAATATTAATAGACGAAAAAATTTCATTTAATAAAATAATTTATGTGTAAAATAAACTTTGAAAAAACTCTGTAAATATTTAATGTAAAATATGTAAATATTATTTTTTACAAAATTGAACTTGTTAAAAGTTATGCGTACCAAAAATACACTCCTCAAAATTGTTCGAATATCTCTGAATAATGATTCAATGGATAAACATTAATTATTTCTTTAACATACATAATATTATTTAATTATTAGTAATTTCTTACTATGCAAATAACTTAAAAAAAAATACGATTTTGAATTATCTAGTTATAACAATTATCTCACAGCTAAAGTAAAAGGCTTCCTTCAAATCGTTGTCTTTACAAATCATTAACAAAAAAAAAAAATGTGCTTTTATTTTATAAAGCATCATACACAATGTACATACTTATTTAGAAAATTTTCGAAAATATTTGAACTTGAACCAGAAACCTTCATAGAAAATTTTATGAATTTTTATATTTTTTTTTTTAATTTGTTTTGGGACCTACTTTATATGTAAATTTATGCCAAAAATCAATCTACCATTCGATTTTTATGAATATTTCACTTTCGTTTATTATTATAATAATTTTCGAATGATAATTAATTTTAAAAGATGAAACCAAAAGAGAGAAACAAGAAAAGAGTTTTGAATTCAATTTAATTTTTGTTTTTTCTTATTGAATTTTTTGAAATTTTTTCATTTTGGCCCCACCATGAGGCTTATATATGAGTAGAAAAACAATGTTCACAATATTGCAAAATATTTAAAATATTTGAAATATGTACATGCCTATGTATCTCAACTCTTTTTTTTTTTTTCTCGAAATATGCATATAATTAATAAGTAAGTGGGCATGTACATCGCATTAGTATGTATTGCCATTAAATTCTTCGCACACTAAACTTACAATATTGCTATACAATAGAAAAATTATGTTTTGTAAAGTTACTGTCTTATTATATAGCATTCAAGATCAAATGACTAAAAGAAATGAAAATTTAAAATGTTATTTAATTACTCAATTCGGCGGGGAGACTTAATTTTTTCATATTTTATGCAATATTCGAACTCTATAACAAATTCATATTATGTTTACAATTTGCAAACAGATATTAAATAAATATATTTTTACCTTTAGTTAAGCTAAAAGTAAAAATTCTAAAATTTTTAGACTTTTGATTTGTTCATATATAAAAAGTTGTCTCATTTTGTGTTATACATAACGCAGTGCTATGTACGGTTGCATAAACCGAATATGAATTCTTCGACTTTGTATTTTGTTGCAGACAAATTATCTATAAATTTAAATTTACAATTTATATTTAAATATTTGTTTTCAGTTTTTTAAGTATTATTAAGTAACATATGATTTTTCTTTAAATATTCTACCTATGTCTATGTCATGTAATTAAATTAATAGTTTGCACAAAAAATTGATAAAATTAGAATAATGTCCAAGCTTGTCACCCCCTTTAGTTTAAAATTTGTATACAATTGCTATATTCATACTATTCTTTTAATAAGTACAGCACTATAATTTAATTAGCCTAGATTTATATCACAAATTTTTCCTTACGTCATTATACTTCATAAAAATATATTTATGTACATATATATATTTTAAATTTTATTGTCCTATACATTATTATATTACAGCTGTTAATGTAAATTTCTTTTTTGTTCGAATTTCTATCTTGCTTCAAATTTGTTCTATTTCTAAAATGCTTAAAAAAACAAAAAAAAACAAACTTCTTGTTTGGCATCCGGTGTGACTTGAACACACAACCTCCTGACACAATTTTCAATAAATCAGGTATGCTAACCATTACACCACGGAGCCTTAAAATTTTACTTTAACAAATAACTAGTTAATTAGTGATAAATTCAATAATAATAATAGTTATAGTTGATCATCCAACTTTAAGATATAAAAGAATAAAACTCAAGCCATATATTGTAATAAGCCATTATAAAAACTTTAATATGAGATTTACTTTATTTAACTCAAAATATATACTCGTACATATAGTTATGGCTTCTAATATTTTTATCATACAAAAATATGCATTATTTTGTATAAAACTGCATTATTGCAACTTAAGCTGTCATAATTTTTGCATATTATTTGCATACTATTTGAATTTTACATATGAAATGTCAAAATATTTTTCATTGAAATTACAATCTTGCAATATAAACATAACACAAATTAGTTTCATATATGTCATGTCAAATTGTAGTGCATTAAATTCTAGTTGTATTCTACAACAAAAAAGAAATATTTATTTCTTAATCTTGCCTAATAAATTAATGCATACATAGTTAAAGCAGCTTTGATAATAATTTAATGAACTCAAAGACATTTATTAATTTATAATGAACATAAACAATAGACATTTTACTTTTTATACGTCTCCCATTTTATTGATTATAAACGGACTTTCGATTTAATGGCGTACTTCACATATAATTATTGCAGTTTTATAAATGATTCATCATTACTCTATTGTATTGTGAATTGAATCATTATTTAGTATGACGATAATTTTATAAATTTTTGAGATTACATTTTTTTTTTATTGTATACGAAATTGGTGTTCGAGTGTACAATATCGTAGCTTGCGTATGCATGTGTGTATACGCTTTCGTGCGCATATATATGTAAATACATATGTGTACCTATAATAAATAGAAATTTTACAAAAACCTTATAATATGTAAATATTTGCAATGAACGAAGTGAATATATTCAATATTATAATTGAAGTGAAGTTGGACGTCAATTACTGTAATGAAAATATACATACATACATAATTAATATTTTTAGATTAGGCTTATGCAAATCTTCATATAGCAAGATTTAGAAGATTTAGATAGATCTTCGTGCTAGCAAGATTCTTGGATTTTATTTTAAAAACATGAAGAAAATTACCATTTTAATTGTTTATATTTCAAACATTTATAAAATTTATATATATTTCTACTTAATTATGCTTACTTTTTAAGAATACAATCAATAATAATTATTATTTCAAGAATATTATCAATAATCAATGACGTCATTAATACTCAAAAAAAAAAAAGAATTTTTAATGCATTCCCGCCATGCGGATTTGAACTCACAATCTTCATAATTCAATATTAAATTTCAGGACATCTACAAAACCACTACGCCACACAGAATAAAAGCATATTGTAGAATTATTTCTTAATATACTTTTTAATGTGACTCAGTTTCTATTTCATTATTATGAGCGTTTCTCTTTCCTGATTTAAGAAAGAAACAGAAAATGGAAAAAGAAAATTTAAGCTTTGAATGTGGTTGTAAAATTATAGTTTTAGTACACACGTTTTAGAACAAAAGAAATTTTTAACATTTTATATTTTAATTCGTAATTGTACAGCGTAGCAAAATATTTTATTAATATTATTAAAAAATAAATGTAACAAATTAATAAATATTATTTGACTATATTCATTTATTATTTATTAAATCGATAAATAAAAAAAAAATTTCCAATGGCGTCCGGTGTGATTCGAACACACTACCTCCTGATGCAAATAATTATTTAATTCAGGTATGCAACCATTACACCACGGAGCCTATTACTTTCCCTTTTAAAAATTTTTAATATAAGCTTAAAAAAATATTTTATATTATTATTTTTGTTGTAACTCTGACTTGAATCATTATTATTATTGTACTGATCTTACAAGATTATTGAATTCGAATTATAGGAAAAAAAATAAATGTATAGTAATATTTTTGATTGTTTGCGAAATGGATTCTTGTTTCTTTGTCCTTCTTAATCTCGTGGAGGAATATACGACTGGTGTATAATATAGATATAGAATCGTGCGCCAGTTTGATGCTCATATACTATATTAGGTTTTAGTTTTAATTTAACAGATGGCATTCTTATTAAATATTTTATTATTAATATTTTTTATTTATTAATTAATTACAACCAATATAACCTGTTATAATATTAATTACACATTTTATATTAAGAATATTATTATTATACTATAATTTAATTTAATATAATTTTAATAAATAATGCATTTTATTTTATTTTTAGCTCCAACATTTGATAAATGTAAAAGAGATACAAATTTTGATAAATGTCTTGTGGATGCCGTCAATAAAGCCTTAGTTCTTCTCAAGGATGGTATGTTTTTTGTTTTTTATAATTCATCATATATGCTATAGTATATGTATGTATGTATATATAATAATATTTGTTAGTTAATTTAAGTAACTAAAGTTAGTATACAAAGTGTTTTGCATAAAGTTGAAAATAATTTCTTCTTTGATTAATTTTTAGTAAAAAATCGTACCCTAGCAAGTGGTGGGGGAGGGAGGCGGAGAAGGGAGTAACTATTAGACACTTGCTTTAAAGATAATTGATATAGATTTTTATTTTTATTCTTACAATCAATTATATCTGACTTTTAGTTTTCGAGAAAAAATTATTTTCTTCATTCTCTCATACTGTTCCGGTAAAATCTAAGCAATTAGATTATTAAATATTACATATTATTGAGCTGATATTAATGTATACATATATTGCTGAATTAATAATATAGCGTGTACACACTTTTGAATATATAAAGATATTCCATAAAATTATTGATTTATTCCATAAAAAATTAATAAATTAACTAAATTTGGGCATACAAAATACCAAAGAATGGTAAATTTTGTTGTTTAATAAAAAACAACGAGCTTCAGCGATCTTCATTTTTTCTCACAATATATAAGATACGAGTATACAGAGTAATTTAGTGAATGTAAAATAAGTGTATACTCAATTTTTTTTTTAGTTCAATAAAAATTTTTAAATATTTTTTCAATATTTAACCTTGTTTTTCACTCTAAATTTTTTATTTATATAGTTCAATGTATAGTTAAAGAGCACTTCAACTTTTTCTTTTGTTCGTGAATTTATAATTATAAATTATTTTAAAATTTTGTATATTCGCAGATATTGCAAATTAATCATTGAATATTATTGAAAATTTTAGATTTTAAGTTAATTAAATTACAATATTTAAAAATTGTTTATTCAAATTTTTTATATAATATGATAAAAATTTTTGGAGTAAGATAAAATTAATTTATTTATTTTGCTGAAGGTTATTATATGTTATCTTTGCATTGCTTTTATATGTGTTATATTTGCATTGATGTTTTGTTATATAAGACTATTTATATGAAAATTAATAGCAAATTATATCGAAAAATTTTAAAATATAATATTGCTTAATTAAAAAGGTTCTATTTTTCTATATTTTATAATAAAATAATTTGCAAAATTTATAACTGATATACATACATATCTGTTATACAATTGAATTTTTCTTAAAATTTTTCGAATTTCTCAGGAATATAATATTAATAATAAATTCAAATGAGAATTAAATTAGTATGACCCGCACATAATTATTATCAGAATATTGTCATTATTAACATGTGATTTTTCTTTTCCAAAATCCAAGACATTTTTGTCTCACCTTAATTTTGTTATACCTAATACTTTCAATAAAATACCAAATATAAACATCAAAGTTGGTTCTACCTGTCATATTTCCTGAATTATCATTGAAAATATAAGAGTTAGACGGTTTATAGAAATTCCAATTTTGAGCACATTTTGAAGGCATACAACTCGCAAAGGAGGAACTAAATAACGAAATGCGTCACTAAGTAATTTTTGTTCATCTGGAAGCATTCTATCACCCAACCATCCTCGGAAGTTCCATCGAGTCTCGGACACCCTGTATATTTTAAATATAATTAGTCAATCAAAAATTTTACTTATTCCGTATATATACGGTATATTAGATTTATATATGTATATATACGTTATACGATTTATGTAGAGCACGTTCCAAAAGAAAATAAATAATTTAATATGTTTCCTCAATTTATATAAAAAATAAAATGGTAAAATACCATTATATTACTATATACTTTCGAGTTTAAATTGAAAAATTACATATTTTATAGTTCATACTTCATGTCTTACACATGTACGTATATAAGTAAATTGGCTAGTAGTTTGAAATAAAAAACAAATTTGTAGGTTTGTGCCATTTATGTACATATGGAAATTATTTTCTTTAATTTTTTTCCCGTTTTATTATTAAAAATGTAAGACGCATGTTTTCAATTTAATATTTTAGGAATTGTGTAAAAGGAAAAGAAAACACTATATTTGTGCCAATAAAAACAAAAGCTCAACAATAAATTTTATACAAATTTTTTTTTTAATTATATTTAATTTTAACAAATCAAAGTGCTACAACACATTTCGGAAAAAAATGTCATAAAATTTATTTAAGCCGCTAAAATACTTTATATTAAGTTTGTATCATAATTTTACGTTACTTTACGGCTTGCTAATATAACATCTCATTTATAAATATCTCGTTAGGTCGTCCAGAGTTGAAGCTGGTAGTTTGTGTGCTCACTTGACATTGTTCCATCATGCTTTATCTGATAAGTGTGGAGATTGAGTTGTACCGTCTCTACTTGGAAAAGGATGAGACTGCAGAGTATCTGCAATGCGGTTGTGAAATTGTGACCCGCTTAAGGCTCAAGTGATTCGAACGGGGTTTTGTGACCCCTTCAAAGCTTTCACGGCTCCATAAATGGACATAATACAGAAATTCATCAGGGGCCTAAGAAATAGTGCTCATGTAACTAAATCGCGAATTACAAAAGATCTTATGCGAGACAAGGTGAGCCGGGCCATGGGGTCTGGTCCCCCTTTTGAAAATTCAATAGATATTTCTTACTTAATCAAAAAGACATTCCAAGTACAAATATGCTTCTTTTGTAAAACTGGAAATTTTACTATAAAACCTCAATTTTTGCGTCAATTCGTGATTTTTCTTTCATGAAACTTTTGATTTCAATTTATTACGACTTCTTGCTTTCGATTATGTCTTTCAAGTCCTATAATAGTAGATTTTGTTTTTAGTAAATTTATAATTAAATCTTTATATATACATAGTAGATTAGAAAACTAATACTAACTAATCAAGAGATTTATAGAAATATAATTATCTCGGAAATTTTTAATTTCTTAAAGATGATTAATTGTTGCCGACAACTTGTTTTCGATAAGATGGCACGAGGAAGTGCAACCGAGTTAAATTGTGTAAAACAAAAAGCTTATTTACTGATTTCATCTCAACAAATCTCATTTACTGATTTTTTTTAACAAAAATAAATTGCATCTATTACACTTTTTCATTCATAAATTAGTATAAATTTTAATTTTTCATTGTTATTGTTTTTCCTTATTATGTCGTTAGTCATGAATTCCAATATACATTTGCATTTACGATAACTGCGTTTTTAGTCCAATTTTTTATAGTAAACAAATTTAGTTCCTAATGTTTGACATAATTGCCGTATTGTCCAACCATAATTACAATAAATGTCATAGAAATTTCGAATTTTTTTTATTTTTACCATATTTTTTACTCTATAGCTAATAATATTGAAAATTAAATTCTCATTACATTTTTCTCTTTTATTTATGTACACACAGGTAGCGCAGAATTCGGTGTAGCACCATTAGAACCATTAAAAATTAAAAGTATGTCAATTAGTTCTGGTAATGCTCCAATCAATTTAAAACAAAATTTTAAAAATGTTAAAGTAAATGATTTGATTAGCACTAGTACAATTACAAGATACAGGCAAGTATAATATAGAATATTTTCGGATTTATTCATAATTATAAAAATATTTAATAATTTTTAAAAATTTTTTTCTAATTTTAGAACAAAATTGGATAAACATTTAATTGTTTGTGATAGTATAAGTAAAAAAATTGAAGTTATAGCAGATTATGAAATATCTGGCCGTATACTATTATTACCAATAACTGGACATGGACAAGCTAATATAACATTAATTGATACTAAAATTGAACATCATTTAATTGGTGAACCCTATACAAAAGATGGTGTTCTTTATAATAAATTAAAAGAATATAAAGTTATATTTAATCCAAAACGTGTTTATATGTATTTTGATAATTTATTTGGTGATTGTAGATTATCAGAAGCAATGAATAGATTTTTAAATGATAATTGGGAATTAGTATTTAATGAATTGAAAAGTGGTTATTCAGAAAGTTTTGGAAAAGTTTTTAAAGAAATAACAAATAAAATATTTACTAAAGTTCCAATGGATACTTTATTCCCAAGATAAATATTTAAAAATTATATTTATATGTAAAATAATATTTAAATAATATATTTTTTTATGTTAATCTAAATTATTAAAAACGATTATAAATTAAGAAAAATTCTATATGTATATTCATGCAGGAAAAAAGCAAATATTAATTTTTGTATTACTTATAAATATTTTTGTATTACTTGTAATTACTAATAAATTTGTAAATGTAAACAAATGTAAATAATAGGGGGTTTCCGTTTATACACGCTGCGCTGAAAGTTCTACATTAGAACTAAAATTTCTAAGTCGCAGCGTTAAACAGTATGCAAAAACTTTAGCTAATTTTTTTTTCTGTTAAGGCAGTCTACAAATTCTGAAACTTCCAAATAATCAGTCGTTCGAAAATAACAGAAATGACATGTTGTATTCCAGTACTTTTCGCCTCCGAATTCACTGCAAAATAAGGAAATTTTAGCAAGATTCGAAAACTTAAAGAAAACTTACTTTAACACCCTTCAATATCTGAATCTGCCATTTGAAATTTGAAATTTTTTTTGAATTTGAAATTTAAAAAGAAAAAAAAAATTCATGAGGTAGCGACAAAATTTATACTAGAGATCTGCGCTACATTTCTAATATTTCTTTATTGCAGATTGAATTTCTGACCGCACTTTATTCCATCTAGTACTTTTCGAACGATCTATATTTTTAGTGTATGCGTAGCATGAATTTTCGAACGTTAATTGAAGCTAGAATTATTCTAGGACTGAATAAACGAAAACCCCCATAATCATAAAAATTTATAATGTTGCTTACCAAAATGTAAAACGAAAATAGATTCTGACTTTATAGAAAACAATTTTTGTTTAAAATGAAATGCTTACGTAGTAAAAATAAGTAGAATGTATAAACTTGATCTAAAATGGTAGAAGCCCTTATTTTTGTGTATTTTAGTAGAAGCTCTCATATTTTTGTACTGAAAACATAAAAAGAACATTTTGTAAATTGCTTACATTTACACGTTAACAATTTTGCATACATATATACATATGACCGAATTGATTGAAAAAGCAAAAAATTTGCCTCTAGAAATAAGTTAATTCTTTTTATATAAATTTAATATTTAAGTTAATATAAATATAGAATTAATAAACCATTTAAAGTATGTATGTATATCTGTTAGACTTAAGCAGTACAAAATGCTAAATTAAAAATTTACAAAATAAAACTATAAAATCAAAATTCTTTTATTAAGTTTTCAATATTTTGCTATTATTGTACTATGAACTTTTTTTATTGAAGACCTGATAAGTTTTGTATGTGTTCATATATAGGTAGGTTAAGAACGATTCCACGAAGAATTTTTTGATATTTCATAGGTATTGCACGAATAATTTACAATTATTGCAAACACAATCTGGTGTAAAATCAGTTGTATTTACTTCTTAAACTTAAATTTTTTAATAGGAATTTATCTATACGCTAAATTGTGCAGCGTTATACTGCCTTCGCTTATACTGCTTATTCTTATAAGTCCATTATATTTTAGAGAGTTCTATATAAAAAAAAATAAACCATAGAAAATCCTTATAAATGAAATACAAATTCTTTTCCAATTTATCATTAAATTTGAATAAAAACAAAGAATTAAAAGTACATTAATCTTTAGAGAATGACACGCTCCCTATATGTAGTTGCTATAGTAAAATTTATTATGCAGGTACTTATATACTTACTTTTCATTTTAAAATTTGACATCACTATCAATTTAAAGGTTAATCAACACTTGTAAGTAAAATTGCAACCTTATATGCAGACAATTCATTAATATCTACTTAAGTATTACAAACAGGTATTAAGGAAGCTTTTTTTGATGTAAAATATAAAATCGAATATTAAATATTGTTTTTTTTTTTTTAATTAATTATAACATAATTTCCTCGAATCATATTATACATATTAATGAGTTTTTATATTAAGTTGTCAGCAATATGATATGAACAAACAAATATACAATTTGTACACAATTAAAAAATAGCAAGTCATAATAATACACATTGCTTGCGAATGCCGATTTTTATAAATTCGCGTAATCGCATAACCTATATTTTGGTGTAATACAAAAAATTTTCTTTTGTTCTTGTCTGTTTACAACTGTTTACAATATTACATATTTAAAAACTTATGGTTCGTATATAATATTATGCATGTAATTTCTCACACGTATTTGATTCAATATTTTTCCCATATTTTTAACCTATAGAATTTGGCATTTAAATGTATAGATATACTTACCCGTTGCCTAATCAATTTTAAATTTAATTAACTGTACTATCAGTCTGCTATCATAATAGTAGAGCTATTGGTCTAATAGCAGATGATTTACAAGAAAATATATTAACAATTACAACCGTGTGACACCTGTAAGAATATTTTTCAATAGATTTATGACATTTGAAGAAAGGGATTCATATAGCCTCTACTAATATATTGTTCAAAATAGTGATTTTAGTTTTTACTAAATTTCTTAGTCTAGTTTTAGTCTAGTTTAAATAGAAGTTGGATTATCACAAAACTATTTCTGATATTATATTGTACATAGCTTCTTAGAACTTGAAGACTCTATTACCAAACTCATTTTTGTAAAATTTAAATAACGAAAGTTTTGTATTTTATATATTTTATATTATTGCAGATGAATGAACCGACATTACTAAAATGACTCAGAAATTTTCGCTGAACCAAAAAATATGTATAAACACATACATATTATGTACATTTGACGCCTATCACGTTACAAATAGAGTAATAAATTTATTGTTAACACGCTTAGAACATTCGTAGTAAATATATATTTAGATTATTACACCAACAAAGCAAAAATAACTCTTTAACCAAGATCTTTAATAGCTCTTACTATTAAATACCAATATAGTGCCATAACTATTATTACTGCCTCCAAATATAAATATGCGAATCCGAATTCAATAGCTTTAATCTTTTTTCAATGTAAGTTCAATGATATTCATTCAAATTGAAAAGAATAAAGCGTAAATATGAACTCTACGTATTTACGATCCAAGCCCAAAACTCTTAAATAATTCATAATTATGCTAAAATATAATATAATTATTATATACATATACTATTAAAATAATAATAAAATTAAAAATCATTTCTATAATATTGAAATTTAAATATATAAAAACATTTACAATAGCATTATCGTAATATACAATATATTTAAGAAGTGTATTAATAAATAATGCAGAAATTGGCAGTAAAAATAAATTATATTGTTACATATTGTTATATATACAGCCTTTCAAAAAAAAAAAATCAATTTTATTGAAATTTGTAAATAATAATATAAATATGCAAGTATTTTCAAGCCAAATTAAAAACAAAAAAAGCTTTTTTTTTTAATAGAATTGATAAAATGAATTATTTTTTTTTAAAATACTACTCCGAAAACTTCAAAAATTAATATAACACTAATGAGCGAAAATCTTATCTTGTAGAGCAAGAAAAATGTATAGAAATTATAAAATAAGCCAAAGAATTTCTTCTTCTTTTCAAATATTGTGTGCTATAAATAATCTCGGATAGAAAAATGAAATTTATATATGTACATAATTAACCAAAATTCGACTCGATATCCGATTTTGGTTTTTAAAACAAACTCAATATGTAAAAGATACAAATACGACAGCTCTTGTTTATGCATACTGCACTGAAAGTTGTACAATAATATTTCCAATTCTACAGAATTAGAATTCTAGTATTTATTAGAATAATTAGTAATTCTATATTAGAACTTTATCCGGAACATTGAAATTTTTGAATTAGTCAATTGAAAATGACGTAAATGAGATTATTATGACAAATAAAATTTTGAAATTATAAAATTTTTTATTAAAAAAAAAAAAAAAAAAATCTCGAGCGGAAATAGATGTCTGCGCTACATTTTTGAAATTTCTTTATTGCACTATTATTCTATATTTTGTTGCACTGATTAATTTTCAAACGATCTATTATTCTCTCAGGTGCAATTTACAATTTTCAATCATGCTAGAAGTTAGAACTATTCTAAAACTGAATTAATGAAAACCCGCCACCATTTCAAAAAAAAAAAAAAACAATTTTATTTGAATTGGACTAGTAACTTAGCGCAACATTTTTGGAACCGATTTTGTGAATTCAGAATCCTATTAGGAATATAATATATATTTGATTATAAAATAAATTACCAGCTTTTATTAATAAATTTTTCATATCGAATAAGTTTTACGTTAATCCTTAAACCATTCATTGTTAGCTAAAATTAAAACTAATTTAATATTATAATTGAAAAAAAAATAAATGAAATATATATAGAAAAATTTATGTAAGAAGGAAAAGAGCAATTAAATTACATAAAATATCCTGCTTTCATTTTTTGTAGATTTTACTTAATATGCCGTCGTTTTGTTCTAAAGTTTTTACTTCAAAATAAGAACCTTTTCAAGATTAAAATTTGAAAATCTATAAATATTTAAGACAAAAAATAAAAATACCAAAGACATATTACAGAAATAGAAAAGAAATCTCTATAAATAAAAAAAATTTAAAATTATTTTTTATATTTAAAATTCAAAAACAAAAAAAAATAGAAATAAAATAAAATCTAGAATTATAGAAAAAATATTGCAACAGGCGCAAATGATTTTGTTTTTTTTTTTTTTATGTTAAATTTTGCAATTTTATTGTTTTCTTTTTACTTATTCAAACTGATTCAATTTCTTTATACTTTTTAAATAATTTTTCTTATAATTATATTTTTTTTTTTTTTTGTTATTATTTTTTATATATTTATTTTTAAGTTAAATCGAAAAAAATTAATGTTTGTATTTTTTGTTTGTTTTTACAGAAAAAAACTTATTTTAATATTTTTTTTTTATTAATCAATTCATTATTTAAAATATTATTTTTAAATTTTACATAAGCTTTATTTTATTTTGATAAAATTAAAATAATAAAATTGTTTTGTTTTTTTTTTTTAATTTTTTTAATTTTTTTTTTTGTAAACAATTATCAAGATAATAGCAATATGAAAATATTTACTAAATTTTAATTGAAATTGTAATTTTAACTTTTGTTTTTATTTCGTTTATTTTTTT